CGCATGGCTTGTTAGGAACTAGATTTACAAGGTGAATATGTCAGAAACCTTGTACCCTGTCAGTAAGGATAAGTCAAGACAGGTCAATTTCTATTTTGTTCAGCCGAGGATGGCCTGGTGGGGTGGAGAGTAGGGAGGTAAAGGAGGACATGGCGTGGAATTAAAATTTTTGGTTGTTTGCCTTACTGGAGACTGAACCCAGGGCCTCACAGATGCTGGGCAAACACTACAGCTGACCTACATCCCTAGACCCTGCAATTAAATTTTAAAAGAGAATGAATTTCCCTTCTCTATTTTGTGCCCATGGAAACTAATCAGAGAGTGAGTCATTGTAGAGCAGATCATGTCGCCTCCAAAATAATGCTGCGTTTGAAAGTTGCATCTGGAAGGAAGAACCTGGCATCATAAAACCCCAGATGTGACTGAAGGTATCATGAGAGCAAAGAACTATAACCTCATAGTTGCTTAAATAATAAATGTGTGCCCAGTAAAGCTTTTAAAAACATGTATAAATGTGCCAATCACAAACGGCCCCAATAACCATAAAAGGAACATGTAGCACATACAAAATTACAATATTGCTCTCATAAAATTTCTCTGTCTGATATATCACTTATTATAAGCATTAATTAAAAGATTAATAATAATTCTTCCTGCCTTTCATGAAATAAATTTATTTACTTATTTATTTAGAGACAGGGTTTTGCTATACAGTTAAGGTTGGCCTTGAATTTGTTTATGAAGCCCAGGCTGGCCTCAAACTCATGACAACCCTCCTGACTCAGCCTCTTGAGTGCTGGGATTACAGGCAGGTGCCACCATGCCCAGCTTATGAAATTGAGAAAAGCTTTTAAAGAATAAATTGAAGGGAGCTGGGCATGGAGGTGCACACCTAAAATCCCAGCACTCTTGGAGACCAAGGCATGAGAATCACAAATGCAAGGCCAACCAAGGCTATGTAGTGAGGCTGTGTCTCAAAACAAACAAAAATAATTTTTCAAGGTGGGGGAAGCCTAAAAGTGTGAGGGACTGGGGGTGTGGTTTAGAGTACTTGCCTAGCATATGTGAGGCCTTGAGTTTGATCTCCAACACTAGGGAAAATTTTTGATGATTGTATAGTTCTTCTCCTAATAATTATTATGAGGAAAACAGAAGTGTTCAAAATGCTTCTTTTTATTTTAACCTTGCCCTTGATGTGGCAATTTTTCATTCTTTGAGCACTGCCTTTCTACTAGCACTTGGCTTTAAAAGTAAAAAGGAAAGTCAATAAAGCCTGGGCCCTGCCTGGAATCACTTGGGAGGCTGGCCAGCCATGGAGTTGGTAAGCAGGGCAGCTGAGTGTATGGATGTGTACTGTGTCACCAGCCAAGCAACGGATTCATTCAGTGTCACTTTAAGAGGCAGCACTTACATTGTACCCATTTCAGAGAAGAGGAATTAGTTTAAACTTATCCAAATGCTGTGGGTTGAATTGTGTCCCCAGAAACATGCTGAAGCTCTAATCCCCATTATTTTGGAAAGCGGACTTGGAAATACATCTGGTCCCTAGGTTAGAGTGTTTCCACTTATGAAGGTTCAGTTTTATGATGGGACAAAAGCCATATGAATTTGGTAGAAAGCATACTTTAAATTTTGCATTCTGATCTCTACCCAGGTAACAGTACCTGGTCTAATACCCTTTCATGTTACTGGACACAGGGGCTCCTCATCAGAAGAGATGCTCAAAGCACTACAATGTGTCATGTTGCTATGCTGTGGTGTTGGTAGATAAAGTATAGTAAGTGAATTTTCTACTTCTGAGGGAACTTATCTGGATATAACTCCATCGTAAGTTAAAGAGCAGCTACAGAAAAATTGCAGATACAATTAGTTAAGTGAAGAACACCCTTATTCTCATATGATCAGTGTCCTTATAAAACAAACAGAAGCTGGAGATTATGGCCCAGGTCTGTAATCCCAGCACATTGGAGGTTGAGGCAGGAGGATCACCAAGCTCAAGGGCCACATAGTGAGTTCAAGGCAAGGCTGAACTACGTAGCGAGACCCTGTCTCAAAAAACAAACAATAAAAGAAAGGAAAGCAAAGCAAACCAAAGCAAGCAATGTAGCTCAGTGGTAGACTGCTTACTTAGCATGTGCAAGGCTCTAGGTTCACTTCCAGCACTGAAAAAGTGGTCAAACAAAAAGCCAAAAAGAGACAAAGGGGAGAGTGCCGTATGAAGACAGATGAGTGAGGACAGGACGGCCGTGAGAGGCCACCCTGCTGGCATCACCAGCATGGAGAGGAGTGGAACCCATTCTTCTGAGTCGGAGAAAGAATCAGTATCACCACACCCTGGTTTAGATGTCAGCCACCAGAACTGTGAGACCGTTAGTTTCTGGGTTTTGTTTTATTTGTTGAGACAGAGACCTGCTGTGAGTTCAGTCTGGCTTTGAACTCACAGTGATCCTCCTGCCCAGTGCTGAGTACACAGGCTTGTGCCACCATGCCAAACCCAGCTGGTTTCAGTTGTTTTAAACCTCCCAGTTTCCAGCCATTTGTTACACCTACCCCAAGAAACTAATGCATGAAACAACACACCTGTGGATGGAGTCAGGGCTGGCTCTGCCATCAGAGCTCACTTGCTCAAACTCCACCTTATTTATGACAAAGAAGGATGGTTTGGAGCAGAAGCCTGCAAAGCCTTCCTGAGAAGGGAGCTTTCACACTGGATCCCAGAGGTTAAGAAGGAGTTTGGTAGGGGCAGAAGGATCAGCATGTGCTGGGTGAGAGGTAGCTGTGCTCCAAGGAGTCTGGGAAGGGACAGCAGGTTTGCACTGTGGGTGGGGGTGGGAGGGGTTTGAATTCTTTCAAATCTGGGACTGACTCCACCTCTTCCCTTTACCCTGTCCTGCCTCTTAAGGGTGAGAGAGTCAGAGGGGGATGTCCTGAGCATTCACTCCAGCGCAGCAGTCCTCTTCCGCCCTTGGAGCTTCTGCTTTCCTCACTGCATGGCTGAGCCTGCTGGTCCTAGGGCCTTGGCCTGAAGGCCATCTCCCCAGAGGCCTGAGCTGTACCCTCAGCCTCCCAGATGCATTCTCAGACCATTATCATGCTGTTTAATCACTGCACTTGTTACTACCTGAAGCCAGTTCATTATAATCATCTCCTCCTCCTTATCTGTCCCCTCCTACCCCCATGTAAACTTAAGCTCTGTGTGACCAGCGACTGGGTCTGGCTTATCCTTAAAATAGAGGATCAGGTCTGGGACTTAAGAATACCTGAAAGCTTGTTGAATGAATTTTCCACCAAGGAAAGCAATTTTGAAAATAAAACAGATGGTCCAGGAAGGTCAGAGGCACTGCAGAGGAGCGCTGAAGACCTGAACTCGGGGCTATGGGGAAAAAAGAACCCTTCTCCAGTGTTGGTGAGAATGCAGACTGGTACAACCACTGTGGAAATCAGAGTGGAGATTCCTTAAAAAACCAGGACTAGAGGTTCCATATGATGCAGCTCTTCCCCTTCTGGATATCTTCCCAAAAGAATAAAAACATCATTCCACAGCAATATATGTGTACCCACGTTTATAGCAGCACAATTTGTAATAGCCAGATCTTGGAAACAACCTAAATGCCCATCAACTGAGGAATGGATAAAAAAGATGTGGTTTTTTATACAGTGGAGTACTCAGCCATAAAATAGGATAAACTGGAGACTTTTATAGGTAGATGGATGCAACTTGAGACCATATTCAGTGAAATAAGACACACATCTATAAACATCATATTGTTTCACGTTCATGTGAGAAGCTGAAAGAAACAACATATGTAAATGTATATATCTGTGTACATGTATACAAAAATAGTTAAGGTAGTATTACTACAGATTTCTCTGAGTTTGCTGAAGAGTAAGATTTGTGCTGGTATTGTTTGGACAATTGAATGTAGATGTCTTGTCCTCTGTGAGTAATTTGGGGATGACAGTGTGCAATGCATGTACCATTGTTGCCCCCTGATTGATGTGTTTTAAAATTTTGTTTTAGTAATAATAATAATAATAATATCTGATCCCCAACGCCTTGAGACTCTGAGATTTACTTTGTGTGGGCTGCCATCCCTGTCTGGTTTGAATCTAAGCTGTTTCCAGTGGGACTCAGGGTATCAGAGAGTGGCTTGGCCTGACTAGAGAGTTCAGGACTCCCCAGAAGCGGATCATCCTAAGGAGTGAGAGAGTGACACACATGACTTAGGTTCTAGGATGGGTCAGGGTCAGAGAAGGTATAATACTGAGGCCAGACAGGTCTGGTTTCAAGGCTATGCTGGGCCCTGCTCCTGTAGAGAGGACCTGGATCATGGAGCAAACAGAACAGAGATGCCAAGTGACATCCCCACTGTGTAGGGAAATGGCACTGTGTCAGCAGTGGCCTGGGCTGCAATGACTGGAAGTGGCCAGCTCACCTAACCCTTATGGCACCATTGCTATAGGAACCTGGTGAGTGACCATGTATGGTTAGTATCATCTCTTCCTAACAGTGGCCTTTGCTAATTAGCGAGAGTGGTCACTTTGGTCTTATGTCAGTCACTTTCTCATTGCTTAGATAAAATAGCCTACACCTAACCTTAAAAGAGGAGAGGGTTATTTTGGCTTACAATGTTTAAAGACTCCAATTAATAGTCAGCTGGCCCAAAGCAGGCAGAGAATGGTGAAAATGTCCGGAGGAGGAAAGCCACTCATCATGTTGGCCAGGAAACAGAGACAGAGGAAGAGCTGGGAGGGAAATCAACCCTTTCAAGTAACATCTTCAGTAAACTAACTCTTCCCACCAGGCCCTGTGTTCTAATTGCGCTGCAGTAGGGATTCATCGGTGGATTAATCCATCGATGACTATAATGACTCCATGATCTAATCACATCTGAAAACATGAGGCTTGGTGGGGGGACACATAGATCTAATCCACAGCAGGTCTGGAACCATCAAGGGAGGGCAGGAGGTTGGCAGCCAGACTGTTAACATGCTCTTACCTGGGACACACGCTTATGTTGGTGGTGGTCCCTGCAGGCTGGGACTTGGGTGGGGCTGGACTTCAGGAAAGGGAACCAGGGAAACTGTCTCGTCTTGTCTTGATGGCTTTTCTGTACTCCTGGGCTGGGATTGTCTGGAAACACAGAGGAGTGACTGTTCCTGTGACGGTGAGACCAAGCTTCCTGCGCCTTGAGTGTCATGCGTTTCCTGGCCCTGGTTTGCCTTTACGTCAGAGCATTTCACACTCCTGTGACAAGCCAGGAGGAAGTGGGCAGAGCTAGAGTAGTGAAGGATCTCTCACCACCTCAATGAGGGTAGACAGCTTGCCTGTCCCTTGGATGCCCATCAGGAAAGGGGAGTCCCTTTCCCAGGTGCTGGCCATGTGAACCCTGCCTGCCAGCAGCTGGCTGTCCATCTGGGGAGGGAAAGCTCGAAGCTTGCTCCTGGCTGTGCAACAGAACCTGGAACTGTCTTAGCCATCAGCCTGGAGTAGGGGAGGCCTTTTTACCCAGTGGCCACGAAGTCTCCCTTGGAGGAGAAGCTAATGATCACTGAAAGCTCCTTCCATGACATTCACTGTTACATGTAAGTGTGTCCTAATCATCAAGTCGCTTGACTCTCACAGCCACAGTTACTCAGCTTGCTGGGATGCTTCACATGGTGCCTCACCCTGCTGCTCAGCCTCATGGGCCACACAGAGGGCCATGGAGGAATAAAGTGGCTGGATCCCAGGAGGGCGAGCATCCCAGGTACCTTTCTATCTCTGCATCACTGCATCCTGGGGGCCTAACTCAGTGCCTAGGGTACAGTCAGCATGCAGTCAATACCTGTGGAATGACCAAAAGTGACAACCTGCCAAGTGATTGTACTTATGTCATGAAGGTAGGTCCCTGTGTGTGGACTCACCCACTCCTCACTTGGACTTTTCGAAGATGGAGGAGAACGAGTCGTCCTGCTGTGACTGTGTCCTGTTGTTATTGTCATTCTCCTTGTGCACACAATGAACTTGACAGGAGCTTTGAGAGTTTAAATCTCCCCAGCATCAAACCAGGGGGAACCAGGCTAGGGCTGGGCTATAGCTGACTGATAGAGCACTCACCTAGTTCAATTAGCCCTCTGTTCATTTCCCAGCACCACCAAAGCTAACAAGCATAAACAAGAATCCCCCAAAATAAAACTCAAAACAATGAGTTTAGCTGCCAGAGCTCACAGTCCAGTTCAAGCCCCCCAGTTCTCAGTTCTCCCCAGTGTATTCTGATGGCGTGAGTGAGCTGGAAGCCACACCAGACTTTCCTATTCTGATACGGAGGCTCAGGCCTTCCTTCAGACCCTGAGCTCGCTCCCTCCCTCCTGCCTCCTCCTCACTTTCCCTCTCCTCAAAGGTGAATCACCTTTGCCATCTTGGAAGGATGCTGCCCCCCAGTGCCAACTCTCCCAGGCTTCCCAGCAGCCCCTCCAGGTAAGAGGGTTGGTTACAATGAGAAAAGTTTTGGGATGGAAAATTTGTTCTGGAAAATAACCCAACTCTACTCAGTGTACTATGGTCAGGTGATACCATCTCAGGATTGGAGAGCTGGTTAAATGAAACACTGTCCACTCACTCATGATTTAATGGCGCAGATGTGTTCTGCGAAATGCATAGGTAAAGCCAGTTCATTGTCATGCAAACACCATAGAAGCTACTTACACAAACCTAGTTGGAGTAGTTCTGTCATTCCACATGGGCTCTGAATGTAGCCAAGGGACATAGTGAACATGGAATAGAGGAGGCTGCTGTGGGAGTCACAAAGCACGTTGTTTTTTGTGGTTTTGTTTTGTTTTTTCTTCCTGAGACAGAATCTCACTATATAGTTTAGGCTGGAGTTAAGCTTACTAAGAAGCCCAGGCTGGCCTTGAACTCATTGCGAGTCTCCTGCCTCAGCTTGCGAGCCGCCTCACTTGGCTGGCAGCACATTGTTTTGCAGTTAAAAAAAAAAAATTTGTTGTAATAACTTGAAGGGGTACCCTTTAAAATACCAATAGAACACCCAGTGTGGTGGTGCACTCCTGTAATCCCAGCACCCGGGAGGCTCAGGCAGGAGGATTCCTGCAAGTTTGAGGCCAGCCTAGGATACATAGCAAGTTCAGGGGCAGCCTGAACTACATAGTGAGACCCTGTCTCAAAAAACAAAACAAACACACAAATAAATAAAATAAAACTAAATACAATAGCAATAATAAGTATAACACTGTAAACCAGTGGCATAGTAATATTCTGTCGTTCCAAGCATTGCATATGTACGTAATTGTCTGTGCTGTACTTTCATAGGACTGGCAGTGCAACCTAGTAGGTTTATTTACACTACAAATGCACGAGCACTGCAAAAGCATTTCTGCTGCAACATCACTAGGGGACAGGAATTTTTCAGTGAGTCGGCTGTTGAGTGTGTAGTTCATCACTGATCGAGAGACCTGTCATTATGCCACACATAACTGTATCTACAGGTGCTCTGCAAATTTCCAACTCTATGTGAACGTGGATTAAAATTATCCTGAGTGCCGCCTCCCTGGAATCTCTCTGCATGGCCTCTAGAAATGTACAGGGCTTCCGAGCTGTGCTCTGAGGAATGTGAATAGGTAATTAATCTGTTATCACCTTCCTTCTTGGGAGTAACACTGAGGCTCCGTGGAGGGGACAGAAGGAGACCACGAGGAAGGGAGGGAACGCTGCTACACAGGAAGAGGGTGGAGGAGCATGATTTTGTCAAAGGAACATGTAGGCCAGATCAGTCCTACAACTTCCAGCTTAGCTCAAAACCCGATTTGGATGAGGCAGAATTTTATCCTTAGTAAATTTTTTAGTAGAAGGATAGATTCTGCCATCTAACAAGAATCTATTGAATTCCTACTATGTTCCATGAAGGCATAATAGAATAAAGGAAAAGGTACAGTAGTGCCTCATGGTTCTGATGTTAGCCCTCTGACACCTTTGTCTCTTTAGAATAGGATAGGCCGGCGTGGTGGTGCACTCCTGTAATCTCAGCACTCGGGAGACTGAGGCAGAAGGATCACTTCAAGTTCAAGACCAGCCTGGGGGCAGGGGATTTAGCTCAGCGGCATAAGTGCCTGCCTGGCAAGTGAGAGGTCGTGAGTTTGATCCCCAGTACCGTGGAAAAAAAAAAAAAAAAGACCAGCCTGGGCTACAAAGTGAGCTCAAGGCCAGCCTGAACTGCATGGCAAGACCCTATCTCAAAAAGACAAAATAACAATAATAGGGTCAAGCACAAGGAAGAAAAAAAATCATTGATTTGTCTGAAATATGTCAGGAGTACACATATAAATTCATGCATTTGTGAATTTGCTTTAGATTGATTTTTTAATTATCATTACGTTTCCAGTATATCCTATTTACACTGCCTGTGTGGAGTTGGTGTGTGCACATAACTCACAATTGTTTTTTCATCTCCTATTCCTCTCCTTCCCTCCATCTCTTGACCCCTTCCCCTTTGAGAAAGGTCTCCCTCTCTACTTCCTATTACCATTTACCTTGCTCTTTTATTTAGAATTTGAAGATTTTCTCCTTATACAAGAGGAACCATGCAGTATTTAAACTCACGTGTTTGATTTATGTTATGGTCTCAAGATGCATCCATTTTCCTACAAATGACTCAAGTTTATTTTTCTTTATGGCAGAGTAGCACTCCACTATGGGTAAATACCACATTTTCTTTATCCATTCATCTGCTGATGAGCATATAGGCTGCTTCCAATATTTAGCTATCATAAGTTGTGCTGCTATAAGCTGGGGTGTGCTTATATCACTATAATAGGATATCTTTAACTTTTTTGGGAAAATACCTAGAAGGGAAATATCTGGGTCAAACAAAAGTTCTATTTAGTTTTTGAGGAATCTCCATAATTTCCATGGTGTTTGTACTAGTTTGCATTTCCATCAACAGTGTAGAAACCTCCTTCCATACCTGCTGAGCTGCAGTCTCGCCAGCCAGCATTTATTATTTGATTTCTTGATGATGGTCACTCTTTTTGAAATGGAATTTTAGTGTTAACTTGCATTTCTCTAATGCGATATTGAGCATTTCTTCATATATTTGTTGGTTATTTGTATTTCATGTATTTGTTGGCCATTTGTATATATACTTCATATATTTGTTTGCTATTTGTGTTTGTATCTTTGTCACAGAAATATAAAATGTGCCCATTTTTATTGTTTTTTATTTTGGGGTAGACCTATTTATTCTCATCTTGCATACGTTTTTAGCAGGTTAGGAAGTCACTAGCTTAAAATAGAAGACTTGCTACAGTGGGTGATCCACAAACAATGATCTAAAATCAGCTTAAAAATAAGGGAAGAAATGGTAGAGTATATGCTCAGTACAAAGTCCTAGGTTCAAGTCCGGCACCAAAAAGTGGGAGAAAAAGAAGGTAGGAAAAAACAGAATCTACAAAAATATGGTTATGAGAACAGAGGAAGCCAGCTATAACTTAGTATGTTGGAGTGTGTTACGACCTCAATAACTTTTTAAAAATTTTTTTCTTTGGGTATTATTCTCAATAACTTTTTAAAATCTATTTCGCCATACGACCATGATATACAAAGCAATTCGTGGAACTGCAGAACCTGAAAATAAAGATAAAGAGTGTGTGTTATGAGGCCAACCTTTGCGAGGCAAAGAGATGAAGGGAATTGCTCCAGACTGCACAGCTAGCCAGGCAGGGAGAGGACAGTGCTCTGGACCTCCCTGGTCAGTGTCCTTCATACTGCTCCATGCTGGATGCCAAGCCGAGACTCCGTGTGCCCAAGGAAAGCTCAAACTCTGTTTGGCAAGGATCTGTGCAAATCCTCCATAATGCTAATGAAGAAGAGGTCAGGGATGAGAAGAGGTCTCACCTGCTTCATGCCTATAAACGCACATCACAATTTCTACAAGCAGTAAATCCTGAGGAAGCCAACCAACAAGGTTTTCCTATGACACAAAGAAACATTTCCTTGCCACAGGGCACCCACACTGGCACTGGCTCTGAGGGTCTGGCAGGCAGACTGGACTCGTGGGTGAAACCATGCCAGCTCACAAGGACTCAAGGTAGGGGCATCAGCAGAGCCGTGGCATGAACATGTGGTGAAACGTGCCCAGGGCTCCTGCTGACCATCTCAGCA